TCTAACAACTATTAAAGAAATTGAATCAGGGCAGGGTGTGGTGGCTCACGGGTAATCCCAGCATTTTGGAAGGCTGAGGTGGGAAGATGCCTTGAGCCCAAGAGTTTGAGACCATCCTGGGCAACATGACAAAACCCATCTCTACAAAAAATACAAAAATTAGCCTGGCGTGGTGGCACACATCTGTAGTCACAACTACTTGGGAGGTGGAGTTAGGACGATAGCTTGAGCCTGGGAGGTTGAGGCTGCAGTAAACTGAGATTATGCCACTGTATTCTAGCCTAGGTAACAAAGTGAGATCGTGTCTCCAAGAAAAAAATAAAATAAAACAAAAAAACTTGAATCAGCAATTTAAAGATCTTCCCATGAAGAAAATACCAGGTCTAGATGGTTTTTGCAGAAGTTCAAGTAAGGGTAACTCTTTTAAAAAAATTATTATTATTTATTTAGTTTTTTAGAAATGGAGTTTTGCTATATTGCCCAGGCTAGTCTCAAACTCTTGGGCTCAAGAGATCTTCCTGCCTTAGTCTCTCCAGTAACTGTGACTATAGGCACACAGCACTGTGCCTGATTAGTAATTCTAATTTTATAAAAACTCTTTCTGAGAATGGAAAAAATGAAAACATTAACCCTTTCCATGAGGCCAGTGTAACCTTAATATCTAAACAAGACAAGTGCAAGAAGAGAAAGCAACATTAGAGGCCTGTTTCACTCATGACTATAAATGCAACAGTTACAAGAAAAATACTGGTAAATCAAATCTGGCAGTGTAAAAAAAAAAAAAAAAAGACATCATGTTCTAGTTGGGTTTGTCTCAGGTATGCAAGGATGGTTTAACAACAGACGAAATGTCTATAAACATTATTTATTATGTTGGTAATAGTAGACTTTGGTGCTCTGTGTCATACCACTTCTGCCCTCTGCTGATTTCAGCTGTCCCTACAGTGGATAATTTTGTGCAAGCCTAGATTCCCTTTAAGCTGCCAGTGCCCCTCCACCTACTCCCAAACTTATACCAAGCTTCTTTTTGCTTTTTGCCTCAGGGTCTTCTTCGATGCTTTAGGAACAATTTACTTGCCAGCTAGTGATTCCCAGGAGTGTGGGAGAGTTAAGGTCCCTAGAATGTGATCCTCACCCCATGGGGGAACAGGAGCCAGTGGATATACTTTCTAGCCTCCTTCTTGCCAGTGGGCAACTCTTGGAGACATCCTGTAGTTTTATCAGAGGTCTCAGCAGAACAAGCTTCCGTCGCCTACAGCTGCAACATCAGTCACCCTCCTTTAAACGGGCTTTTCCTTCCTTCCTATCTGTTTTCCCTGCTCCTTCACTTCCTGCTTCCTGGAATCACCTCTCAAATAACCTATCTGAATCTAAGTCCTTGCTCCAGTCTGTGCTTTGGAACAAAGGATTTTGCTTTAGAGCAAAAGGAGCCCAAACTAAAACTTACATTAACAGATTTAAAAAGAAAAAATATGATAATATCAACAGATTTAAAAAATTGACAACATTCAACACCCTTTTATGATACAAGCTCTTAGCAAATTAGAAGGAAATGTTCTTAACCTGATAAAGAAAACTTACACAAACTTACATATTGTTTTTAATGAGTAAATCTTAGGAGAATTTCCTTTAAAATCAGGAAGAGACAAAGATGCCTATGATTTCTGCCTCTATTTAATATTGTACCAAAGGTCTTATACATTGCAGTAAAAGGAAAGGAAGGAGAAAAGGAAGAAAGGAAGGAAGGAAAGGCAACCAAAACCATCAATATTTGTATACGGTATGACTACCTAGGTAGAAAATCCAAAAGAATCATCAGGCAAATGATTCAAAGTAATTAGAGATTTTAGCAAGGCAACTAGCTAAAAGATCAATATTCAAAAATTGGTTGTTCTTGTGTATATCAGTAACATACAAAAACATAATTTAAAAAATACATCATTTACAACAGTCAAAAAAGTAGAGCAACAAAACTAACAAAACCTAGAACTACAAGACCTATAGTAAGAAAATTACAATACTTTATTGAAAAATATGAAAGACAATCTAAATAGAGAGAGAGATAACACATGTTCATGGATAGGAATTCAATATTATAAAGATGTGAATTATTCTGTAACTGATCTACAGGGTCAGTGCAATTCCAATTAACCCCAACAAGGTTGCTCATGGAAACTGAATGCTGATTTTAAGGTTTATATGGAAGAACAAAAGAACCAAGACACTCCTAAAGGAAATGAATAAGGAGAGGGATTTGCTCTGCTAGATATTAGGACTTTCTGTAAAATATTGTGTTAGTGTAGGTATAGGCAAATTAACTGATGAAACAGAATAAAGAGCCCAGAAATACACCTATGCTTGTTTGAAACTTTGATGCAAAGATAACATAGAATATCACTGGGTAAAAGAAGGGTCTATTAAATGATGCTGGATCAATTGATTAACCATATGGAGAAAAAAGGGGCGAAATGTAACCCTATCTCACACCAAATATAGAAATCAATTCCATTTAGATTAAGGATTTATATGTGAAAGAAAATCTTCATAAGAAAATATAGGAGAGTATATCCATATCCTTGGGGCAAGACCTCAAAATTGTCAATAATAAAATCAACAATTGGTAACTTTGACTAGGACACAAATAAATAGGCCGGGCATGGTAGCTCACGCCTGTGACCCCAGCACTTTGGGAGGCCGAGGTGGGTGAAGCATGAGGTCAGGAGATTGAGACTATCCTGGCTAACACTGTGAAACCCCGTCACTACTAAAAATACAAAAAAATTAGCCTGGCGTGGTGACGGGCGCCTGTAGTCCCTGCTACTCGGGAGTCTGAGGCAGGAGAATGGTGTGAACCCAGGAGATGGAGCTTGCAGTGAGCCGAGATGGCGCCACTGGACTCCAGCCTGGGTGACAGAGCAAGACTCTGTCTCAAAAAAAAAAAAAAAGACACAAAGAAACATTTCAAAGAAAAGGAGGCATGTCTAAAGAAGTGAAAAGATTCTTCAGCTCAAGAGTAGCCAGGGAAATTAAAATTAAAATTACAATGGGACAGATATTATTTTATATGCATTAGATTGGCAAAAGTTAAAAAATCTGACAAGACCAATTGTTGGAGAGGCCACAGGTTAATAGGCACCCTTCTAATTGCTGACGAGAGCATATACTGGTGCTCTCGGAGATAATTAGGCATTATCTTATAAACTCAACATTCTTTATACCCTGTAACTCACAATTCCATTCTTAGATGTATGCCCTAGAAACACTGTCACACTAAGAACCAGACATGTCCTTGTGTTTACTTCTTTATTTTTATTTTTATTTTTATTTTTTTGAGACGGGGTTTCATCCTATCGCCCAGGCTAAAGTGCAGTGGCGTGATCTTGGCTTACTGCAACTTCCACCTCCCGGATTCAAGTTATTCTCCTGCCTCAGCCTCCCGAATGGCTGAAACTAGAGGCGCATGCCACCACATCCAGCTAATTTTTGTATTTTTAGTAGAGATGGGGTTTCACCGTGTTGGCTAGGATGGTCTCTATCTCTATCTCTTGACTTCGTGATCCTCCCGCCTTGGCCTCCCAAAGTGCTGGGATTACAGGCGTGAGCCACATGTGCCTGGCCTTACTTCTTACTATCTGTGTGACCTTGAGCAGATCACTTAATCTTTCTGTGCCTCAATTTCCTCATCTGCAAAATGGAATCAATAATAGTACCTTCCTCATAGGGTTTTTGTGCAGATTAAACAAATAAAATAAGTAAATATTTTAAAGCATTTAGAACAGTGCCTAGCACACAGTAATGCTATATAACTATTTCATCAAATTAAAATAAATAGGGTAGCCGGGCACAGCAGTTCAAGACTATAGTCCCAATTAATCAGGAGGCCGAGGTGGGAAGATGACTGGATCCCAGGAGTTCGATGCAGTAGTGTGCTATGATCATGCCTGTGAATAGCCACTGCACTCCAGCCTGGACAATATAGTGTGACCCCATCTCAGTAAATAAATACATAGATATGCATATGTAATAAAGCACCTAAAAATAATCAAGAGAACAATAAACACAAAATTCCAGAGGGTGGATAGCTGTGGGTGGGAGGCAAGTAGCATAAAAGTGGACAAGTGGTGGCCTGGCGCAGTGTCCGACACCTGTAATCCCAGCATTTTGGGAGGCCAAGGCAGGTGGATCACAAGGTCAAGAGATCGAGACTATCCTGGCCAACATGGTGATACCTTGTCGATACTAAAAATACAAAAATTAGCTGGGCATGGTGGCACACGCCTCTATAGTCCCAGCTACTTGGGAGGCCGAGACAGGAGAATCGCTTGAACCCAGCAGGTGAAGGTTGCGGTGAGCTAAGATTGCGCCATTGCACTGCAGCCTGGGCAACAAGAATGAAAACTCTGTCTCAAAAAATAAAATATTAAAAAAAAAAAAAGGCAGATAAGTGGTGTTTGCAGTCTGGTGATATTCTATCCTTGTGCTGAGTGAGTGGCAGCTTCGGGGGTGTTTGGTATATTACTGAGCAGTATGATGATATGTATGTTACATATGCTTTTTATGTGTTACCTAGTAAATTTTACAAAAAATAATAAAAGGGAAAAAGGACCTTTCTACATGCCTAGAAAGAAGAGGCTTCATGGGAATGTGAGCCATGGGTTAGGAAAGACCCCCTCAAACCGAGGCAGGTAGGATGTGAGCGACTGAGATTCATTATGAACCCACTGCGCCTGCCGTGGAGAACAGGGACTGTCCCTTCCCCTCTGCTTCAGCTCAGATGGTTCAGATCATAGCCCACGAGGGCCCCTAAATAAGGAGGCAGCCCCACATTTCTACATCGGCCAACAATATGGCAGAGCACAGGAAGGAGAGAGTGGAGACAAATCAGGAAAGGAGCGCCAGGGCAAGTGCGTGAGCTCGGAGACCCGGCAGGGCAGGAGCTTCACGGAGGACGGCATGTCGAGCCACAGGAGCGCTGGGGATTCTCCAGCCCCTGTACTTACCAGGGAGAAACTGATGCCCAGAGAGGGGAACGCACTAAAACTCAGACCTCGACACTGCCAAAATTCTTCCCATGCCGCCAAGCTTCACTGGAGGGAAAGTGAGAAGCTCGACCTTACCCCTGTGGGCTCCAACAAGGGTGGCTCTGGGATCCCGGGCAGGAAATTGGTGACAAGGTGACAAGATGTACGTGTCACAGCTGCCCAGTTCACAACTTGTTATTCAGTTTTCTCCCTCCCCCTGACCAGAAGTGACGTGCTTCCTGTGCCCAGGTTCCCACCCTAAACTAGCCTCATTTAGCTCCACTTCCACACTGCCTTTTTGTTTTTAATTGTGGTAAAACGTACACAACAGAATTTACCGTTTTAATTTTTTTTTTTTTGACTGAGTCTCAGTCACCCAGGCTGGAGTACAGTGGTGTGATCTCGACTCACTGCAACCTCCGCCTCCTGAGTTCACGTGGTTCTTGTGCCTCAGCCCGTGGAGTAGCTGGGACCACAGGCACCCGCCACCACGACCGGCTAATTTTTGTATTTTTAGTAGAAACGGGGTTTCACCATGTTGGCCAGGCTGGTGTTGAACTCCTGACCTCAAGTGATCTGCCTGCCTCGGCCTCCCAAAGTTCTGGGATTACAGGCAAGAGCCACCACGCCCAGCCAATATTTTGTTGTTGTTGTTTTTAAGACAGTGTCTTGCTTTTGTTCCCCAGGCTGGAGTGCAGTGGCACAATCACAGTTCATGGCAGCCTCCGACCCCTGAGCTCAAGTGACCCTCCCTCCTCAACCTCCCAAGTGACTGGGACTACGTGTGCAGCCACCAGGCTTGGCTAATTTCTGTAGTTTTTGTAGAGACAGAGTCTTTCTTATGTTGCCCAGCCTGGTCTCAAACTCTTGAGCTCAAGCGATCCTCCCACCTCAGCCTCCCAAATGATGGGAATGAGCCAGCGTGCTAGGCCCATTTTAATTATTTTTAAGTGTACAGTTAGGGGTGCTAAGTACATTCACATTGTTCTGCAACCATCACCACCATCCATCTCTGGAGCGCTCTCTTTTTCTTTTCTTTCTTTTGTTTTCGAGATAGAGTTTCGCTCTGTTGCCCAGGCTGGAGTGCAGTGGTGTGATCTTGGCTCACTGTAACCTCTGCCTCCCAGGTTCAAGCTATTCTCCTGCCTGAGCATTTTTTGTTTGTTTGTTTGTTTCTGTAGAGACGGAGCCTCGCTCTGTCACCCAGGCTGGAGTGTTGGAGTGCTGGAGTGCAGTGTTATGATCTCGGCTCACTGCAACCTCTGCCTCCTGAGTTCAAGCAATTCTCCTGCCTCAGCCTCCCGAGTAGCTGGGACTACAGGTGCACACCACCACGCCCAGCTAATTTCTTTTGTATTTTAGCAGGGACGGGGTTTCACCATGTTGCCTAGGCTGGTCTCAAACTCTTGAGCTCAGGCAATTCGCCCACCTCGGCCTCCCAGAGTGCTGGAATTACAGTCATGAGTCACTGTGCCCGGCCTTGCCTCAGCCTCTTGAGTAGCTGGGATTACAGGCACACGCTGCCTGGCTACTTTTTGTATTTTTAGTGGAGACGAGGTTTTATCATATTTTATTATGTTGGCCAGGCTGGTCTCGAACTCCTGACCTCAAAGGATCCACCCGCCTAGGCCTCCCAAAGTGCTAGGATTACAGGCATGAACCACCATGCTTGGCCGGAACTGCCTTCCTTTTGAAGGCTGAGTAATATCCTATTGGGCATGTGTGCTGCATTCTGTTCATCCAATTCGTATACTGATGGACACCTGTGTTGCTTCCACCTTTGGCTATTGTGAATAGTGCTGCTATCAACAGGGTTGTACAAATACCTGCTCAACACTCTGCTTTCAATTCTCTAGGGTGTGTACCCAGAAGTGGAAATGCTGGATCACAATGGTAAAATATACACAACAAAATTGACCATCTTAACCTTTTTTCTTTTTTTTAGTGGTAATTCTGGCTGGGGTGGGTGGCTCACACCTGTAAATCTAGCACTTTGGGAGGCTGAGATGGGAGAACTGCTTGAGCCTAGGACTTCAAGACCAGCCTGGGTGACAAAGTGAGACCCCATTTCTACAAAAATAAAGAAATAAATAAAAAGGTAATCTTGTTTAATTTTTGAGGATTCGCCATCTTATCTTCCTTACTCCTCCCTTTAATGTGCAGTTTCCGTACTCACTGGGGCCTTCTGTGAATGAGGCAGTTCCAGGACAAGCTGCCTTCTGGTCCCCCAAGTGAGGCAGGCGAAGACCACAGAGCTGAGCCTTCCCTGGCTGTGACATGCCACTCCACAAAAGCCTCTTATTAGCGACTAAGAGCCATCACTTCCTCAAATCTTATCAGACCTGCCACCTTGCCTAGCCATATTACAACAATTACTCTAGAAGAGTGACTTTGTACAAACAAGCAGAAAGTATGAACGCTGGTGGTCTATGCAACTTTTAACAATCCAGGTGCTAGATCCATCCAGAACTTGCAGATTACCCTGTGTACCCACTTTGAGAGCTGCACACACAGTCCTGCTGTTCTGCTGTGTAGCCAGAGTTGAGACCCCTTTACATACTTACTCAGGCATCATTTGGGCCAAACTCCACTCTGTAAACCTCCTCCCTCAACTTTGTGGCTTCTGAGTAGATCGCTTTCCATTTCCATTTATTTCTTTTTCTTCTTTGCTTGGTTTCTGGCACATTCCTCTTTGAACTGCCAAGATCATGCTAGGTAAATGTTTATTGAATGTAAGCTAGCAGCTTAGTTTTATGAGACACATATTTTATAGCAAGGGTTTTCAAACTTGAACGTGTGTCAGGATCACTGGGGGGCTTGCTGCAACAGCCCACTGGGCCCCATCCCTAGAGTACCTGAGTAGTAGGTCTGGAGGGAGGCCTGAGATTTTTTTTTGCATTTCTAAGAAGTTCCCAGGTGATGCTGCTGCTGCTGGCACCAGCATCACCTGGGAACTTCTTAGAAATGAGGACCACACTGTTTTAGCAGAATAAGAAAGTGTTTTCAATTGACATAGCAACCAGCTCATCAAAACCACAAGTACAAACTAGAGGTATCACCAGACTATAGACTGACTAACAGAGACTATGAGCTCAGTCTGGCAGAGTGGAATGATAAGGCTGTGTGACCTTGAGCAAGTTGTGTAACCTCTCTGATCTTCAGTTTGCTTATCTGCAAAATGGGGTAATAATAATAGCCAACGTTTGTGACGTGCTTACTACATATGCCACACGCTGTTCATCACGTTTCATCCTCATAACAAGCCTATGAGTCGATACTGTTTTAATCCCTCTTGCAGATGAAGAAACTGAGACATGGTAGAGTAGCTGGCGGGCAGTAGCTGGCACACACCCAGCTAGAGGCTGAGCCGAGATTCAAATCCGGGCAGCTGGGACTCAACATCTGAGCTTTCATACTGGAGAGACCCTCTCGCCCCCTTCAGATCCCCCCTCCGAGGGCTTCTGGGAGGAAAGTGTGATGATTTGTAAAACACTGGCTGATGGCCTGGTACACGGAAGCACTCAACAAAGTTTGTGGTTATTGTGAGTTGGTGCCTGGATGTGCACCTATCTGTGTCCTTGTAGGCTGTGTCCAAGGACACCCCAGCACGTGTGTTGACTATTGCACAGATCCACAGAATATCAGACCCCAAAATCATGCCCGTTGGACAGGAGGGGCTGTCCATATTATGTAATGTGTTAATTCTTGGGTCCTTGGATGGGAGAAAGTTGTGAATATGCATCACTTAGAAAACTCATCAGCGAGTGAGGAATGGAGTTGTTTACAAAACCAAGCCCTTGCGGTCTTCCTGGACCTCAGCCTCATCTCATCAGCGCCCCCTGCGGAGTGGGGCCGAGGCGGCAGACACGCTGAACGCTCAGGCTCTGGAGGAGCAGGGGGCTGCACCGCGCGCCACCTAGTGGCCAAAGTGAGCAGCTCCCCTAAAAGAAACGACGCCCCGCAATCTGCGCTTTCCTTGGGATTCTGCAATCAATCACATGTAGATTTGCAATGGGCTAGGATCCCCCGAGAGACTGTTTATAAGGAGGGCGGTCTATGTAGATGCACTAATTTGAGGGAGGGAGAGCGTGGGAGGGTCTCTGGGGAGGAGAGATGTCTTCTCTCTGGAAACCCTGGACGTGAAGGCACCTGCCAGCTGCCATTTTTCTTGCTCTAAGCTTTTCTCCAAACGCGAGAATAAAACTGAGATGCTTTACTAGGAACTCAGGTGGGAAAATAAACGGTTTCCTTAGGAAAGATGCCAGAGCAGCGAGCAGAGGCAAAATCCAAGAGAGAGATGAGGTTTTTTTTGTTTTTGTTTTTTGTTGTTGTTGTTGTTTTTAATCAATTTGGGCCGGGCGCGGTGGCTCACGCCTGTAATCCCAGCACTTTGAGAGGCCGAGGCAGGCAGATCACAAGGTCCGGAGTTCGAGATCAGCCTGGCCAATATGGTGAAACCCCGTCTCTACTAAAAATACAAAAATTAGCCGGGCATGGTGGCACAGGCCTGTAGTCCCAGTTACTCGGGAGGCTGAGGCAGAAGAATCACTTGAACCCAGGAGGCAGAGGATGCAGTGAGCCGAGATCGCCCCGTTGCACTCCAGCCTGGGCCACAGAGCAGAACTCCATCTAATAAATAAATAAATATTTTCCTACTCTGCCACGTCGAGAGTCCGGCATGGTTCACCCGTGGGAGGGGAGGAGCAAGTGTTCTAAGCAGTAACTGTGGTTTTAAAATGTTTTTCTTTTCACCATCATCCTTCTTTATCCCTCAGTTTCTTCCCTCTGCAGCCCCGGAGGAAGGAGGTGGGCCATTCTTGCATTGCTGTAAAGGAATACCTCAGACTGGGTAATTTATAAAGAAAGACGTTTCTTTGGCTCACAGTTCTGCAGGCTGTACAGGAAGCGTAGCAGCATCTGCTTCTGGGAAGGCCTCAGGAAGCTCCCGATCATGGCAGAAGGCAAAGGGGGAGCAGATGCATCACACCGCGAAAGCAGGTGCAAGAGGAGCAGGAGGTGCCACACACTTTTTTTTTCTTTTTCTTTTCTTTTCTTTTTTTTTTTTTCTTTTTTTTCTTTTTTTGAGACGGAGTCTGGTTCGGTAG